TGCTGTGTAAGCAAAACCGCAAATATCACTACGATTTTGAGTTTAAGCAAAATGGGTGGACAACTTAGGTTACAAAGAAATTAATAACGTTGAAAGTTCCGTATGTATAGAGAAAAAAGAAAGAAATCGTTCATTCCCAACCACCTCGAGTTTTTCCTTCTTGCTGAGAAAGGATCGCACTTGCAGAAATTCTTAGCGACGTTCAAGGTACAACTCAGTACTTAAGTACGAAATGGCAAAAGAAATTAGTCTATTTCTTTGTGGATCCCTTCACTATTTCTTTGTAGTTCCCTTCAGCAAACCCGCGGTTCTTTGTTGCCGACTTTGCGTTGGAGTTCCACGGATAAATTTGTCGCTCGCGCGCTACGTAACAAAGAGAGGACGTCGTCGGCTGGTGGTGGTCAATTCGTCGTTCATTACTCGCATTAGTGGCCGGAGGAGGGGTTTCCGGTGAGGGCACCCTCATTAATACGATCCAAAGACGACGGATGATTGGCTTCGTTGTCCAGCCAAGCACAAACAATCACCACTCAAGATGTCGTGATACTAGTCATGGCCTGGCTAGGCTTTGCCCTTTGAAGACTCCATCAGGCGGATTTGAAAATAAAAATCTGAAAATAAGGGTTTTCCCCAGAATTCACATTGAGGTCGGGATAGAGAAAAGGGTCTAGTGCTAGAAAAAGGTTGCGTTTTATTGAGAAGCAATTTTGTCCATATGGGTCCTTCTAAAGCAATCTGTGAATGGAGCAGATGGAATATTTCCCTTTCTACAAAAATTATGCGTATCCTTTCCCTGGGCATATCGCTGTCTGCCTTGAGAAGTGTCCTCGTTATATTTTTTCTCAGAACGCTGAAAAATACCCTTCAAAGCCCCTCGATTCAAACGCCACGAGAGGGCCGATTAAATATAGCTTGATAGCTTGCGAGACCGAAAAAATTGAATGAGACAATTGCCCTGACAACTGCCTACCGACCTTTTGTCGGCCGATATTCTCCAAGGGATTCGATGTCGACCTGCTCGCCCAAATAGTTCGAAATTGCCGTTTTTCCAGCCTGAAAAGGTTCTCCTTTTCTTCATCGAGTCATAATCCTCCATTTCCTCTGTAACACCGTATTAGTTTTAATAGGCACCTAAATCATAGTTGTGTATGCGAAATTTGCCCGACAGAAAATTCTATTCATACAGGCCTTCGAAAAGCTGAGTATGGTCAGAAGTTCAGCCTTTCGGTGAGTTTGGCAGACGGGTGTGATACACTTCGTGAAATGATTGTTAAATATCTGCAGGAGGATAGCAGACCGTAAAACTCGCAAAATTTGTATAGGATGGGTAATTAATGTGATTTGGAAGCTTCATCAATGGTTGGGCATGGCAGACGTGACTTCGTCGACGTCATCTCGACTAGTCGTAAACGTGGTGTTATGGCACCGCCCCTAGATCACGTTTTGGGAGATTCGGCTATTCGGATATGAAACGATTTCGCTGCTGAAGAGATAAGATGAGAACAATCAAAATTAAGCGCTGAATCGCTACGGTCCGCTAAAAACTCCCTCAGGGGTTACAAAGTTGACCATGTGCACTAATCCTTTTTAGGAGACTCGGACATTCGCCAAAAACGGATGCTGTGAAATGAGAAAGAAGGGCTGAGTGCCTATGCCTTTGTGGTGGGCTGAGCATTTGCGGGTTCTACGTTATGAATTATTCAGCTTTAAAAGCCCCTTATATTTTCCTCATTTTCAATGTCCCGTGATTTCACCTCTAATTTTTGTCTAGTATAAAGGTAGAGTTCGCCTCCGTAAGTGAGGAAGGAAGCAGTAGGTTACATACTAAACTCGTGTCTCTGCACAACCCACAATTTTCCGCTGGCCAAAGGAAACCCCCGGAGTGCATCGCGATTTCAGTTTCTGTGGTTTACCCCGCCCAATTTTTCTTGCAAAAAATTGCGATTTTTGTAGCTGCCACGAAACAGTGCACCCGTGCTATATGACACCAATCAGTCCTCGAGGGTGAAAAATGTAGAAAGAAGCTGCCACGAGGTTGGAATCGGGCAGCCCAATCTTTCGAGGTGTGTAGAGATCAGTAGAGCCCATGTTAGTGAAGCGCAGCTCTTCTGAGGAGTGATGTTGAGCTAGCGGCAAAACCGGCAACTAATTCAATCAGGCAACTCCCGACCACCTCTTGAGAAGAGCTTTTTTCAGGTCCTGCTAGGAAAGCTTGCAAAGTTTACTTACCTTGCACGGTCCCAGCACGAGAATCTTCTTCGGGGGCCTGTTCGTGTCCTTCATCAATAATCAGCTGTAGATGCCGAACTCGTTACTGAGGGATCGAAATCTGCGGATATTTTCCAGCAGTGAAGGGTAGAGGTCGAAGTGCGCCCAGCAAGAACGTGGACAGAGACTACCGACTGTTTCCATGGAGACCGCAAAACCGCAATTGCACATCCGCTTTTTCAACGGCATCGAACTACTTGAGGAAATGCTCATGCGCTCACACCCCTTAGGCGCGTTTCTCCACACAGATCGCTACGCCGATCTTTTGCTCAGAAAACCCACGGTCGTTTTTCCGTTGATTTGCCTGATTCGCTTCGTTTCACTTGCTGTTTTCCGCCACTAAAGCCAGAATTTAATGGCGTTCTCTTCCACTTCGTTGAACGTCCGCTACGATTCAATGAAAAACGTCTTTTGACATGAGCCGCACCAAAGAATTCGACACGGTATGCTTGTTCATTTCTTCCCGGATTCCTCAACGGACATTCTTCTTTTAGCTTTACATTTTTGGTTTAGTTGCGACATCGGATGGAAGACATGCGAAATGAGCGCTCGCGGGGTCACGAAGGGCTTGAAAAAGTTTTTTTTTTTCAAATTAGGTTTGCCTTTTCGTGATGGGCAAGGCTGACAAATAGAACATGCATACTTTGAGCGAGGTTTCTTGGCCACCTACATTATACAGTCGATATCCGAAAGTTGGGGTAGGTGTGGCACCGGAAGTGACGTGCACTTGATAGAAGTGCGTGGATAAGCTGTTGCCAGCATGCTTTGCTGATATCCAGCGATGTATGTTGGAAGCAGCTTATCCACGTAGCTTCTATCAAGTGCACGTCACTTCCGGTGCCACACCTACCCCAACTATCGGATATCGAGTATGAGCGCTTTATTCGGCTAACGTTTCGGCCTTATCACTTTGTCGGAGCCTGGAAAGCCAAAGATAAAACAAATATAAGATAAAGATATAAGATACATATGAATAAAACGTTCATAATATCTTGTTGCGGCTCAAGAAACCTCGCTGAAAGTAACTCTCGCAATGCCAGGATTTACCGAGAGTCGAACATGGACACTATTGAGAACTTCACATACTTAGACTTAGTTCCTCCCGTGCTGTTGAGCACCTCGGGCCAGGG